GAAAAAAAAAAAAATGAAATTGGACCACCTTCTTATACCAAAGACAAGAATAAATTCAAAATGGATTAAAGACTTAAATATAAGGTGTGAAACCATAAAAATCCTAGAAGGAAACATAGGCAGTAAAATTTCAAACATCTCTCCTAGCAATATCTTTGACGATACATTTCCTAGTTCAAGGGGAAAAAAGGAGAAAACAAACAAATGGGACCACATCAAACTAAAAAGCTTCTGCGCAGCAAAAGAAACATCAACAAAATGAAAAGGGAAAACACTATATGGGAAAACATACTTGCCAATGATAAGGGTTTAATTTCCAAAATATACAAAGAACTCGTACAACTCAACCCAGGAAGACAAATAGTCCTATTAAAATGTGGACAAAGGGAGCCCTAGCCAGTTTGGCTCAGTGGATAGAGTATCAGCCTGCGGAGGGTCCCAGGTTTGATTCTGGTCAAAGACCCATACCTAGGTTGTAGGCTTCTCCCCAGCCCAGGCCCTGGTCAGGGCATGTGCAGGAGGCAACCAATTGATGTATTTCTCTCACATTGATGTTTATCTTTCCCTCTCTCTTCCACTCTCCCTAAAAATCAACGGGAAAATATCCTCAGGTGAGGATTAAGAAATATATATATATATATATACTAGAGGCCCAGTGCACTGATTCATACACACTGAAAGGAAATTAATTAGAAGAAATATTTTAGAGGCTGGGGAGGGACAGTGAGAGATTGGCCAGCAGGGAAGGAACTCTGGGAGGGCTCCAGGGCGTGTCTGGCACATCTCGTCCAATCCCCAATGGCTGGACCCCAGGAGCAAGCCAACCTACTGGTAAGAGTGTCTGCCCCCTGGTGGTCAGTGCATGTCATAGCGACTGGTTGAATGGTCAGATAATTAGCATATTAGGCTTTTATTATATAGGATGAGCAAAGGGGGAGGAGTGGGAGCAGAATAGAGGGAGTCAATGGGGGGGAAGGGGGAAGGAACATCTGTAATACTTTCAACAATAAAGATAAAAAAAATTTTAAATGGGTAAAGGACCTGAATAGAGACTTCTCTAAATATAGATGGCCAACAGACATATGAAAAAATACTCAATGTCACTAATCATCAGAGAGATGCAAATTAAAACTACAATGTGGTATCACCTCACATCTACCAGAATGACTACCATCAATAAAACAACAAATAGCCCAGCCAGTGTTGCTCAGTGGTTGAGCATTGGCCTGTGAACCAGAATGTCACAGCTCGATTCCTGGTCAGGGCACATGCCCAGGTAGGCAGCCAATCAATGATTCTCTCTCATCATTGATATTTCTCTCTCTCTCCCTCTCCTTTCCTCTCCGAAATTAATAAAAATATATTTTAAAAAATAAAACAACAATTGCGAGGAAGTGGAAAAAAGGAAATCCTACTACACTGGTGGGAATGCAGACTGGTGCAGCCTCTGTGGAGAACAGTATGGCGTTTCCTCAAAAAGTTAAAAATGGAACTGCCATTTGACCCAGTGATCCCATTTCTAGGAATATATCCTAAGAAACCAGAAACACCAATCAGAAAGGATATATGTACCCCTATGTTCATAGCAGCAGAAATTACAATAGCGAAGATCTGGAAACAGCCTAAGTGCCCATCAGCAGATGAGTGGATAAAAAGCTATGGTACATCTACACAATGGAATACCATGTGGCCTTAAAAAAGAAGGATTTCTTACCATTTGCAATAGCATGGAGGGACCTGGAGAGCATTAAGATGAGAAAAATAAGTAAGACAAAGACAAATATCGCATGATCTCCCTTATATGTGGAATCTAATGAACAACATAAACTGACAAACAAAATCGGTCCAGACGCATGGATGCCTGAAACAGGCTGACGAATCTCAGAGGAGAGGAGTGCGGGGGTTGGTGTGTGGGTTGGTGCTCTACCCACTGAGCACACCAGCCAGGGCTATGCCACTTTTTAGTTATCCATTCATCAGTTGACCGACATCTGGGTTGTTGACAGTTTTTGACTATTGTGAATAATGCTGCTATGAACATTTCTGTACATGTTTTGTGTAGACATGTATTTACTTCCCTCAAATATGTAAGTGGTAGTGGGAATCCTGATCATATTTTTAACTGAGTCTGTGTTTAACTTTTTGAGGAACTGCCAGACTATTTTCCAAAGAGGCTGCTCTACTTTTTATTTACAGCAGTTGTGTATGAGGGTGCCAATTTTTCTTTTCTTTTTTAAAATTTCTTTTTAAATATATCTTATTGATTTTTACAGAGAGGAGGAGAGAGAGAGAAACGTCAATGAGGGAGAAACATCGATCAGCTGCCTCCTGCACGCCCTCTTTTGGGGATTGAGCGCAACCAAGATACATGCCCTGGACAGGAATTGAACCCGGGACTCTTCAGTCCGCAGGCCAACACTCTATCCACTGTGCCAAACTGGCCAGGGCGAGGGTTCCAATTTCTCAGCACCCTAATTGGTATGGAATGGCATCCTGTGTGTAGTGGCATTTTTCTGATGGCTGATGGTGTTGAACATCTCTCCATGTGTTTCTTGGCCATTTGTATACCTTCTTGGAGGAAATGTCTATTCAAATATTCTCCCCATGTTTTAATTAGGTTATTTTCTTTTTATTAATAATTTGAAAGAAGTCCTTATGTATGCATGATACAAATCTCTTATCATATATATGATTTGCAAATTTTGTCTTCCATTCTTTTGGTTGTCTTTCACTTTCTTGTAATATATATTTTAAATATGTTTTTATTTATTTTAAGGAGAAAGGAAGTAGAGATGGCAAAGGCAGACACATATTTGGCTCAGCTGGGGGAGCTTCGCCTTGTGTCCCGAGAGGTTGCTGGCACGTACGGAAGGCAACTCATACGTGTTTCTCTCCCATATCAATCTTTCTCTCTCCCTCTTCCCTGGGTGAGGATTTTTTTTTTAAGTAGACATATTTTTGAAGTTGTTTGGCTCTGATGTATATTATGAAAGTATGAAGTAGAGCCACTAATGTTTATCATGCATCTATGTGCCAAGAACTTCCATAAATATTCCACCGTTTATTCTCTTCAACCACCCTATTATGTCAAGACTCACTGTTTTATAACAATCAGAATGGAAATTATACCTCACTCTTTTGTTTGTGTGTTTGTTTGTTAATCCTCACCCGAGGATATTTTTTCCATTGATTTTTAGAGAGAGTAGTAGAGGGGTGGGGGGAGAGAAAGAAACATCACTGTGAGAGAGACACATCCATTGGATGCCTCCCACACGCCCTGACTAGTGCAGGGGGATCGAACCTACAACCCAGGTAAGTGCCCTTGACTGGGAATCAAATCCGTGACCCTTCAGGCCAATGCTCTAACCACTTAGCACACCAGCCAGGGCTATACCTCATTCTTAGTTACCCACTATCATCTTTCAAAATCTCAGAAAACATTTTTTCCCATGATTTATTCTAGAACTTTGTCATGATCAATTTCAAGATGACTGGTCTATATATTCAGAATTTATCTTTCCCTTCATACTTACCTGTCTTCTTTTTTTCTGAAACCAAATCTATATATATAAAAGGCTAATATGCTAAGTGTCCGACCATCCTACTGGTCACTATGATGCACAATGACCACCAGGAGGCAGATGCTCAACACAGGAGCTGCCATGACACGCACTGACCATTTACAGAGAAATGGCACTGTGGACATGGCCCCTACAAAGCAACACTTGGCTTCCTCAAGTGGGACACAGGCCCCACCACCACCCCAGAGTGACAGCCCACCAAATCGCAGCCAACACTGCCGAGACCCCGTGGCCCAAAATGCAGCCGACAGCCCAGCCCAGCTGTGGGTAGTGGGTAATGATGTCACGTAGCAACGCCCAACTTCCTCTCCCTAGCGACTAGCCTCCTTGGAGTTTCTTCAGCCCAGGAACAGGACTTGCTTTAGAGCCAGGTGGAAACACTTTACACTGTAACCAAATGTCTGTGAAGCGTTTTCCTGTGCCTCATCTCATTTGATCCTCATCAACCGGTGGGTCGCGACCCCTTTGGTGGTCATACGACCCTTTCACAGGGGTCACCTAAGACCATCCTGCATATCCGATATTTACATGACGATTCACAATAGTAGCAACATTACAGTTATGA